CCCCCCCCCCCTTCCCCCCCCCCTTCCCGGAGCAGGCGGCGCGGATGGTAGCCGCGCGCGCGTTTGATCTGCCGAGGGGGCCGCCGCCGCCATCGCCGCTGCCGCCTCCGCCGCCGCGGACGGCGGGGAGGGCGCTCGCGCCGCCGGCCGCGGCGGCGAAGGCGGCAGAGGCGAGGGCGGCGAGGGCGGCGAGGGCGGCGGTTTGGGGGCCGGCGCCGGCGGCGTCGCCGAGGGGGGGAGTGAGAGTGAGAGGCGGCTGGCGGCGCTGCGACAGGAGCTCGTGCTCAGCACCGAGGCGTCGCATTTCACGCCGCTCGGCGCCTCCCGTCTGCCGCCGCGCCGGCCGAGCCGAGATCCGCCAAGGTCAGCCGAGGCCCCCGAGATGTAGGCGCCGCCGTGTACCGCGTGCCAGCCGACCCGAGCGGCGTGCTCGCCGCGCTGCGGCTGCCGAGCACGCGCGTGGGCGAGGGTTCGCAGTGCGGCTGGCCGCCGCTGCACTTGGCGCTGCTGCGTGGCGAGTCGCACTTGCCGGCGCTGCAGCTGCTGCCCGCCGTTTATGGGGAGACGCTGCTAACACGGCGCCGCTCTGTTGGCAGGTGGTGCAGCTGCTGCTCGCTTCGCGCTGCGACGTCGTTAGCGGCCCTCCGCGCGTGCGGCACGTGACGCCGCTGCTGCTCTGCGCCGCCGCGCAGGCTCAGCCCCCCGCCCCCCCCCCCTCCGCCCACCCCACACCGACGCATCGCTTGCCCCGCCGCCCCTCCCCCTCCCACACTCCCCGCTCCTACGACGCGCCACGGCCTCTCGCCCTCGCCCTGTTGACGCGCTGCTGCCACGCAACCGCAGGCCGAGACGGCCGCCTCAATGCTGCTCGGCTGCATGCAGCCGCCGCAGCTGGTGGCCGCATCGTGCGCCCGCTCGCAGGAGCGGGATGCTGCCTGCTCTCCTCGCCGCTCCTCGGCCGCACCTCGGCCGCACCTCGGCCACTTCGGCCGCACCTCGGCCGCACCTCGGCCGCACCTCGGCCGCACCTCGGCCGCACCTCGGCCACTTCGGCCGCACCTCGGCCGCACCTCGGCCGCTTCGGCCGCACCTCGGCCGCACCTCGGCCGCACTTCGGCCGCACCTCGGCCGCACCTCGGCCGCACCTCGGCCGCACCTCGGCTGCACCTCCGCCGCACCTCCGCCGCACCTCCGCCGCACCTCGGCCGCACCTCGGCCATGCCTCGGCCGCAGGAAGGGCTGCCCGTCCTCTCCGTCGTGGCGCAGTGGTCGTCCGACGCGGCCGCCGGCCGCATCTGCCGCAAGCTGCTCGACTGCCGCGCCGATCCGTGCGCGCGTGCGCGTGACGGCTCGATGCCGCACGCCGCGGCCGCCGTTGCCCGCAACAGCGCGACGGCGGCCCTGCTGATGGCGGCGGCGCAGCAGCGCGCCAAGGAGGCGCTGGTGGCGTCGCCTTGGTCACAGCGGCTCGACAGTGATGCGGCGGTCTTCAGCGAGCCGCAGCCGTACCGCGGGCGCGCCACGCGCCGCGGGGGCGGCGGCAAGAACCGCGCCGCCAAGGAGGCGGCAGCGGCGGCGGCGGCCGAGGAGGCGGCGGCAGTGGCGGCGGTGGGGAGAGGCGAGTGCACGACCGGGTCGACGGCGACAGTGGCGACGTCGCCGCCGCTCTCGACCTCCACCTCGTCGGTCGGGTTCGGCTCGGCCTCTTCACTGCCCGCTAAGAGCGACGACGCCGTGCCGCCGCCAGCGGCGCTGGCAGGGCTGGAGCAGGTGGCCGGTCTCACGGCGCTGGTGGACCGGCTGCCCGAGGCGGCGCAGCAAAAGGTCCGCACACGGGGAAGGGGTGGGGTGGGAGAGGGCGCTAGCGTGAAAAGCGATTGCCTGAGAGCGCGAGTCGGCCCCGCCCTACAGGCGCTGGCGTGGTGCTCGGAGAACGAGGTGCATGAGGTGGGCCTCATCGCCGCCGCCGGTATCGCGGACGCTTTCGTCGCCGCGCTGGGCATCAAGCCCACAGGCGTGCCCGCGCTGCTCTTGCGGCAGCGGCTGAAGAGAGACTAGGAACGATCTGCGGCCGATGAGGCTGGCGGCCAACCAGGGACAGGAGGTCTCGCAGTTGAGGCGCGCCGGCGTTGGGCGGCGCGCCGCCGGACGGAGAGCCGCCCCGGCTCAGTCTGCCGAGTGCCGTGTTCCGCGATATAGGTCGTATTGTGAAGTGAGTCACAAAAAAGACACGGCAACGTGTAGACGACTTCGCGACATGAAGTTGGAGGGCACCAAGTTTATTTACTTGAGAGTTTTTATGTGTTGCACATCTTGTGCATGGACCAACCCATGGACACCGGTAAGAGGGTTCTTTCTGCGCGGGTTCGGTCTCGGTGGAGCCCTACTCTAGACGACTTTTGCGCTATCTCCGCGTATCTCCCTCGATCTCCGCGTATTCCCCTCTCGCTCTCCCCGTATTTCTCTGGTAGGACGGGAACGAGATGATAGTAGGGAGTAGAAGAAAGCAAAGAGGAGCCCTGCGCACGCACGACTCCGCAGGAGAAACCCCTCCCCAGACAAAACACAAGGGAGAGGTGGGTGGGTCACAGAAAACTGCGGCCGCCAGCGACTGAGCGTCTCGCTGGCGGACGGGGAGAGGAACACAAAGGGACGTCCGGACGTCCATCCACTGGGATGAGAATACTGGAGATCTGAGGTCGAATCTGCCGATTCCACAGCCGCCCACAGGAGCGCCGCCTCAACACGGGGTCTCGGCTCTATCGAGCCATGCTAGCTCCAGCCGCAGCCCCACCCGGCCGCCCGAGGGTGTTCCCGCAGGCAGAGAAGACCAATCCTGGGGGAAGTAACCTTCTCTGGTAGGACGGGAACGAGATGATAGTAGGGAGTAGAAGAAAGCAAAGAGGAGCCCTGCGCACGCACGACTCCGCAGGAGAAACCCCTCCCGCCCGTGCTTGCGCAGCGCAGCCTCCTCCTCCCTACGCGCAAGCTGGGCATGAGGATGATGGCGATTATGTCATGGCGTTGACGATCGCCAATACAGCCGTGATGCAAACGCAGATGAGGACGAACAGATGCCGATCTTGATAAGAGGTTCCCACCCTTGAGAGACGCGCCGAGTTGCCTCGCCGCGCCGCTGTTGATGACGGTACCTCGCGCGTCCGCTATGCGGTGCCGCGAGCTTCCGCTTGTGTATGGAAACCGATGGTGCCTCGCGCGTCCGCTATGCGGTGCCGCGAGCGTCCGTCTGTCTCCAGCGAGGATGGTACCTCACGCGTCCGCTGCGCGGTGCCGTGAGCCTCCTTCCGTCGCCTGTTGCTGGGCGGTGCCTCGCGCGTCCGCTGTGCGGTGCCGCGAGCGTCCGACACCAGCAACTACGGTACCTCGCGCGTCCGCTATGCGGTGCCGCGAGCTTCCGATGTGATTGACACGCTGCCGGGCTGTGTAGCCGCCACCCGACCGCCGCGTGACGATGGTGCCTCCAGACACGATGGTGGAGTTTGAGTGCCTCCAGACACGACGGAGTTTGAGTGCCTCCAGACACGATGGAGTTTGAGTGCCTCCGGACACGATGGAGTTTGAGTGCGTCCATTGATATCTTGACGATCGACACAAGCCGGGCTGTGTAGCCGCTGCCCGACCGCTCACGATGATGCGCCCTGGTAGCGCTGACGCTCGCGCCGCTGTTCATGGCGGCGTTTTCGGCCAGACGCGCAGGTTACCTCCGCTCCATTTGCTGCCACTTGACCCCCATGACGACCGTCGCAGCTGGCGGAGGGGCCGCCTCGCCGTGCTGGGTTGGGCTTGGGCAGCTTACCCGGTTGGCGGTTGTCCCACGGGTGGTTTTCCCACTCCGAAAGCAACGGCAAGAGATCTCCGTCGCAGGTTGTGACCGGCCTGATAGGAGCCTCGTCAAGCTGCTCCGCCGCGTTCCGCCAGGTAGCAGTTTCGACTCGGCCGCGGAGGATCTTTGCCGGCTGGCAGTCCTCGGGAGCGAGCGCCCCAAATCCCTCCTCGCCGGGGTGCGACCTCGTTTTGAGGCTCTCCACGGCGATCTCGGCGAGGCGGAGGAAGGCCCCCATCTGCCGGCTGCACTGATAAAGGTGATTGCACTTTCGCTCATAGAGCGTGTAGTAGCTGGTGAGGTCGAGCTGCTCTATGTAGAACTCAAACCACGTCTTCATGGTGAAGCCTTCACCAGCTGGGACTGCCTCCAGGAAGCCGATGCCCACGAAGAGCTTATTAAGGAACGCGCCGAGGTGGCGGACCTTGTCTCGGATGGTGTAAAGATCCTTAAGCTCTCGCTGGCGGACCAGCTGGCCATCCTCGCGACGGCCGTTCACGATCGGCAGCACCTCGTCCAACCGGGGGCCTCTCACCGCAGGGTGGAACCCGTCATAATCACCGCAGGGTGGAACCCGATATAATCACCGCAGGGTGGAACCCGTTATAATCACCGCAGGGTGGAACCCGATATAATCACCGCAGGGTGGAACCCGATATAATCACCGCAGGGTGGAACCCAATATAATCACCGCAGGGTGGAACCCAATATAATCACCGCAGGGTGGAACCCAATATAATCACCGCAGGGTGGAACCCGATATAATCACCGCAGGGTGGAACCCGATATAATCACCACCATGCTACCCGGCTTGCGAGTAGGGAGGAGGAGGCTGCGCTGCGCAAGCACGGGCGGGAGGGGCTTCTCCTGCGGAGTCGTGCGTGCGCAGGGCTCCTCTTTGCTTTCTTCTACTCCCTACTATCATCTCGTTCCCGTCCTACCAGAGAAGGTTACTTCCCCCAGGATTGGTCTTCTCTGCATGCGGGAACACCCTCGGGCGGCCGGGTGGGGCTGCGGCTGGAGCTAGCATGGCTCGATAGAGCCGAGACCCCGTGTTGAGGCGGCGCTCCTGTGGGCGGCTGCGGAATCGGGAGATATTCGAGGCAGCCAGATCTCCCGATCTCATCCCAGTGATGGACGTCCGTACGTCCCCTCTTAGTGATTGTGTTTCGGACAGCCCTTCGTTGTGTTCTCCTCCGTCCGCCAGCGAGACTGGCTCAGTCGCTGGCGGCCACAGTTCTCTGTGACCCACCCACCTCTCCCTTGTGTTTTGTCTGGGGAGGGGCTTCTCCTGCGGAGTCGTGCGTGCGCAGGGCTCCTCTTTGCTTTCTTCTACTCCCTACTATCATCTCGTTCCCGTCCTACCAGAGAACTACGCTAGTAGTCGGTCTTTTTATGATCTGACTCCCCCTTGTCAAAAGAAAATAGGAGAATCAGGCACGAGACACTTGAGCGCGGCGCGACCCCGGATGTCATTATGGCGTGCGGGAAAAGCTGATCAATCAGTGCTCCAGCTTCTTGGGAGAGGGGGAGGCGCTCCCTCTCTCGCGCGCGTCTCGGGCTGGCGCCATGACGAAATTTCTGCTGAGGCACAAGGCAAAGCAGCAGCAATGGCGGCGGCGTTGCAGCTGCGGGGGGAGGGCCTAACATTGGCGTGTATCAATCACACCGGAAATGATGGGGCAACACACTCCCGTAGACGACCTTACCCATTGGCCCAATGTGACATTTCCCATTGGCTCGTCAGCTGTGAAGCCGCCCAATGACGCTCGTTTCACCCAGCCACACAGGCGATCATAGTCGAAACACGGCTGGAGTGTGGTCGCATCTGTGTTCCCGACAATTGTGTGGTTGAAAGTGGTCCACGCATCCTTCCACTTGCCCAAGGCAAACTCGGTCAACGAGAGCGCACACATTCTGGCATATTGAAAACTAGATGGCATCGTTTGACCCCCCTCTCGGCGACTTGAGATGATGCTCGCCACCTCACTGTCTGCAAAGATTCCTTGAAGCAGCATTTGCACATTCATGTCGTTGATGGTTCCATCAAAATGCCCAGTATGGCGGCTTTCGCGGGGAAAGCCACCGCCGTGCGCATGGATAGCAAACGGGGCGTTGGGTGTGCTGATTTGTGCACACATATGATCGACCATGCCTGCTTGTGCGTCCTCCCATCGCATGTTAATCCACGTCCTGGGGCTGTGTTGGTCGTGTGGGTTGGCATCCCTCGGCGGAACCCCGAATCGAAAATTGAAAGATGTGCCATTTCTGTCGGAGGACCACGTCCCTGCTGACCTCCATAGCACGGTCAGTGCGGTTGAAGAGTCCTTGAAGGAGCTGCTAGACTGCCCAGGGTGCCTGACAAAGAGGTACTTTGAAGTTTCCTCAAGGATCAATACGTCGGGCTTAGCTGGCAGGCTATCGACGACATTGAGTTGGGCTCGCGCTTGGGACCATTGCCACAGCGTCCGCTGCTGGGCTTCAGCGTACAGCGAGCAGTTTCGGGATAGGGCCACAACCTCACCATGATACAAGTACGTCTGCACTCTGTTCGTTGCAGGGATGCAAGGGGAGCCATAATATCGCAGATCAGTGAACGTTACCAGCAACTTTCTGTCCCAGACTGCAGCCTCAATGCCGTAGCATCCCGAGTGGTGCACCGCTTTGCCCACCAGAGAACTTCCAAACAGCATCTCAACGAAGCGGTGGTGCATTCCGCGGGTCCTGGAAGTCCCTGCGAAGGCAATCCACAGGATAGGTGTAGTCTGTCGAGGCCCTCCTTGAACCAGGAATTGGACGTCCCGCACATGGCTAAAGGCGTTCCAATGGCAGTGACTGGGAACCCAGATCCATCCGGCGGCCGGGCAACCCCAATGTGCAGGCGTATGGAAGCAATTGATCCACCGGCCGGGGGTCTCGAGGTCTCGCAGCCTGCTGCAGATCGGCAGCTTCGGCAGCGAATCTTGGATGACCTGCAGTTCCGCGGAGTCAGCGGTGGCTCGAAGTACCTGTCTCAGTGCCCCGAAACGAAACACGTCAATGAAATAGGTTCCTTTCAGCAACAGATGTGGTTGGATGCTTCCGAAGTACGATGTGGCGTCGGCTTGCAGGGGCATCCCGAATCGTGTTGGTCCACGGAACAGTAAGAAAGGAGGCGAAGACGTCGAGTGACAGCCCGCTTCAGCCTCGACGAAACGGAGCAACCCTGGTGAAATAATCGTCTGCGGTGTCAAGAGTAGGGTACAGGGCGCTTGCACATCTGAAGATAGCCATCTCATGTTCAGATTGGAATCCGCTTGCTGCCCCCACCACGCCTGTGTGTGACAAGTGGGGCATGGGGGCAGGTGTTGTGTGTGTGGCACAGAGAGCGTCGCACAGCCATAGCATGAGATTGTTGCGAGCGGCTTGCCCAACGGCGACGGCGGAGGCGCGGCAGTGTGCAGGCGTGCGCTCGTGGGCAAAACGCTGGCGGAGGAACCCTTGCTCCGACGAAACGGTGGAGGCAGTGGGTGTTTGGGTGATGTTGTGTGTGCCACATGGCACACAGCCTGGCATGAGCTGTGGCGTATGCCAGAAGTGCAGAGGCATGCGCCGCAGCCAGGATGTGCAGCGGGCGAGTGGGAGCATTGCGAGGTGCAGCGAAGGGGGATGAGGTGGTGTAAACTTTGCCCGCCACACAGCACACGGCGCAGGCTGCGGCGTGCAGGTTTGTGAAGGAGTCGGGGGCCGGGGTGGCTGGAGCCGGGTGCGATGGGAGCAGCACGCGCTGCGGACGCCGTCTCCGCTGCTCCCGCATCTCGCTGTGGAGCGGTGCGGTGGTGGGGCACGGCCGTGGGCAGCGCACCCGAGGCGATCGACACTGTCGTCGGCACAAACTACTCGCACGACAGTTTGTACAACGACACAAACTCGCACGCGCACGGCTCTTAAACGCCGACAAGGCGCCAAGGGGGGTGAGCCTTTTTACGAGGTATAAAAAAAGGAAGAAAAAAGAAAATGGGAAGCTTTGACACCGGCGTGATCGTCGCGCGACGGCGAAGACGGGGCAGGCCAGGACAGAGGACACGCCCGGCGGGTATCTACTGCTGCGGCGTCTGTGGCTGAATGAGGTGCAGTGTTCCCGTGTCGGGAGTCGTGGTCGACACTCTAGAGTTGACGGGGTCTGAAGCGAAGGAGGGAAGCCGTCGCTCGGGCTGCCTGCCCCGAGCGTCCCGAAGCAGCAGGAGGAGGCAGATGGCCATCTTGATCAGCTCGACCATGAGCACGACCACCGAGGTCAGGTACAGCTCGTTGGGCTTACCCTGCCGCGTATACCGCGTCACCACAAACGCGGAGCTGTTTTGCACCATCAGCACGGCGAGACTGCCCCATTTGAGCAGGAGAGCCGTCTTTGTGCTCTTGCTGACGGCCTGCTCGCTCGAGGTCTCCGACGCAGAGACGAGGGAGGCTCTTTCTGCGCCCGCAGCGTCCTTCTGCATCGAAGCTCCAGCTGCGGGCGGCTCGGCCGGCTCAGGCAAGGCGTGGCAGCAGTCGCGGTTGTGCCACAGTTCGGTAATTGTTCTCACGTAACAAGTACACACATCGACTACCGGGAAGGTTTCTGGGCGCGCCACTTTGCTTGTGCGTGCGTTCTTGCTGCGATTGTGCTATACGCAGGCTGTCAAAAGCAGGTCTCTCTGCAGGCGCGCCGCTGCGGGGCACACTGGGCACCTCCGGCCCCTCGCTTCGCCGGATCTCTGTGGCGCACCGCCCACCGCCCGCTGCCGCCGGGCGCAGACGCTCCGGACGCCGCCTTACTTCCCGCTGCCGCCCCGCCCTCCCCACACTTCCGCGGCGCGTGCACGAGCCAGCCCAAAATATGGAAGCGTGGGCAGGGGCCAGCCGCGCCACGCGCGGCCACGCGCACCGCACAAGCCAACCGCCGCACCCGCAGCACGGCGGCGAGGTGAGCCTCGCAAATGTCGCCGAGGGGGCAAAGCTGGCTCTCGCCGGGATGCCTCAGCGGCCGCGGGCGAGCGGGGCGTGTGTGCGCCACGCGCCGCCGCTCCGGCCGGATCACACGAGCCTCCCTCCCGCGGCTCGTCGCAGGTGAGCGGGTCGGTGCGAAGATGCTCGGTGAAGATGCTCGGTCTGCTCTCGCCAAAAGTTTGTCCGGCTCGACGTCCGGCCCCGGGCGTCGGGCCGTGGCGGCGACAGCAGGCGTGCTCCGCGCCGCCTCGTGCGCGCGCACGCGCAGCGGCGGCGCCTCCGCACCACCCGAGTCGCCGCCCGGCCGAGCGAGGAGCAGAGAGACGACGAGAGACATGCTGATTCGGCAATCTCGTGGGCCTCTCTCTATCAGGTTAGAATTCTTCATTCTGTATTCTTCGCAGCCATGACGACAGGGCTCACCGCAGGGCTCACCTCGCTCGACCTGTTCAACGAGCTACAGTCCCGCAAGAACTGGCCGCACGGCGGCCCTCCGCTCGTCCTGGATCTGCGTTCCGTCGAGAGCTTCTCCGAGCGCCGCATCCGCGGCTCGCACCACGCCGTCGTTGGCGAGGATGGCGTGCTCACCACGCCCGAGCGCGCGGCGTGGGCGGGGCGTACGGTGGTGCTGGTCGCGGATGACACGGAGCAGGCCTCCGCCGCGGCGGCCTCCCTCCGCGGCGCCGGCGCCAAGCGGCCCCTCTTTCTCGCAGAGCCGTTTGCCGCGTTTGCGGCGGCTCGCCCGTTCCTGACCGCGGCGGGCAGCTCGTCCAAGGCGGGCAAGCGGCCGCCCGCGTACCCGTCGTGCATTTTGCCCGGCCTCCTCTACCTGGGCGACATCGAGGACGCCGTCGCGCTCCCGCGGCTCAAGGAGCATCTCGGCGTCACCCACGCGATCACCGCGCTGGCAGACCCTCCCGCGTCGCTCAAGGCAGCCGTGCGGGAGGCGGGAGTGAGGCACCTCTGGTGCGCGGTGCGCGACGTCGCCGCGGCCGACATCAAGGAGCACTTTGACAAGGCGCGCGCCCCCTCCTCCCACCGCCCTCGCCGGGCCCTCCTCTGCCCGCTTCTGGCCGCTGCTCCGTCTCGCCCCCACCCGTCTCTCCTTGAGCCTCATCCCCCGCTCAGGCTCGCGACTTCATCGCCGACGCGGAGGCGCGCGGAGGCGCCGTCTTCGTCCACTGCTCTCGCGGCGTCTCCCGCTCCGCTTCGCTCGTCCTCGCCTTCCTGATGCGCGAGCGCAAGACGCCTCTCTCCGAGGCCGCCGCCCAGCGCCGCCGCCGCCCTTCCCCTCGCCCTTCGCCCTCGACGCCGCTCGCCCTCGCCTCCCGCCCGCGACGCGCGCCGCCGACCCGCGCGCAGGCGCTCGCCCTCGCCACCGGTCGCCGCCCGATCGTCAACCCGAACGAGGGCTTCCTCCGCTGCCTCGCCGAGTTCGAGCGCGAGCTGACGGGCGAGCGCTCTGGCGTGTACATCCCACAGCAGGCGGGCGGGGTCGCGGCGGCGGGGGAGGAGGGGCGCCCGTCTCGGAGCCCTCTGCGCGCCGTCCTGTAGGCGCCGGCGGGCGGCGGCGGCGCGCCGGATTTGCCTCCAGATTGGGCTGCGGTCGGGCCGCCGGTCGCATCACGCGCGACTCTCTCTGTGCGCAAAGGCGGCGGCGGCGGGGCGGGCGGCGGGCTGCGTGTGTGCGGCGTCGCCGCCTCACCCGCCCAGCTGTCGAGTCAGGCGGCGAGGAGCTCGACAGCCTGCCCATCGGCGAGCACGCTGTCTACACGTTTGGCCGCTCGCTCACGTGCGAACCCGTCGCAGAGAGGGGACGAGGAGAGCAGCGCCGCGACTTGTGACCGGTCGGCGGCGCCGCCCCGCTGCAGGTGCGACGTGCAGCTCGAGCACGCGTCGGCGTCGCGCGTGCACGCCGCGCTCGTCCACGCGCAGGAGACGGCGGGGCTTGCAGCCCCGCCGGCGGGGCTTGCAGCCCCGCCGGTGTGAAGACCGCCCCGATGACGATTTGGTGCGCGTGAGCAGGACGGCGGCCTCTACCTGCTCGACATGAACTCGTCCCACGGCTCGTTTGTCGACGGCGCGAAGCTCAAACCGTGCGAGCGGTGCGGCCCGCTGCGCGACGGCTCCGAGATCAGCCTCGGCGCTTCCTCGCGCCGCTACGTCGTGCGAGGCGTCGCCGCCGCCGCCGCCGCCGCTGCCGCCGCCGCCGCGTCGGGCTCCGCCGCCGCCGCCCGCCCACCCGGCGTCGACTCGAAGGTGGCGCAGCTGATGGCGATCGCAGGCCCGGCCGGCGGCGGCGGCAAGAGGCGGTCGCTGGACGGGGAGGCGGCCGAGGCGGCGGAGGAGCTCGAGCGCAACCGCGAGAAAAAGCTGAAGAAGAAGCGGAAGCGGTGGGTGGACGGGCCAAAGCAGAAGAGCAAGATGTCGGAGAACGAGCGCGTCGCGCAGATGGCGGGCTCGGGCTCGGGCTGCTTCGGGCCGGGCTTCGACTAACGGGCGGCGCGCCGCCGCCGGCGGCGCGCCGCTGCTCGCCGGGCGCGTGCGGCGAGGCGGGTCCCGCGGGGCCGGGCGGGCCGCCCCCGGGGGGCGGGGGGAGCATAAACAAATAAATAAATACGGAGACCTCTCTACTGTGAGGAGGGGTGCAGGGGGACGACCCTGAGCTAAAAGTATGTACCACCTTCGTACGTAAGTAAGTAGTAAGTACGCGGTGCGTGCGGCAAGGAAGCTGGAAGGCGGGGAGGGGCAGGCAGCTACGGCTCTAGCTAGGTAGGTAGGGGCAGCGAGTCAGTCGTGTTTTCCCTTGTGCACGGACCTTGGTACTGTTTTTAAGCTGGTTGCTAGGAGAAACGGATGGGAGAAGAAGGGGGCAGAGGGGGGGGGGCGTAGAGCTCAGTCAGAGATTGTCAGAGATGAGCTTTGCACGGTGGACGGAGGAGGATGGCGCGGTTCACGCCCTTCATTCATTCACCGAATCGATGGAGATGCGTTCCGCGTGCTGACTGCTGTGAAACGAGAGGCGGGAGCAAGGTGCGTATAAGCGGTGCTGTCAACGCCTGAGCGCTGGCCCCCTTGGACCTTGGTGGACGAGAGATGGTTGAGCTTGTTGCGAACAGCCGACGGCGCGCGCGAGAAGAAGACGTAGGCAATATTAAGTTACCCGGCGGCCGCAGGTGACACTGCTGACAGTGGTTCGTGCGGGAGGCTGGTAGAGGAGGCTAAGGCGAGGTTCGAGGGGAGATCGACCGGCCGGGGGCGGGTGGCGCGGACGCCCGCCCAGGCGCGCAGCCGCGCGCTCTGCCCGCCCGCCCCGCGCCCGCGCGTGGGTGGGAGGAGAGAGGCGGGCGGTCAGACCTTGGCGGTCAGTGATGGCTTGGCTTGCTTTCCCCCTCTGGATGTTTCCAAAAGAAAAAATCGACGCCGCGGTCTCTGACGCCCGCCCTAGATTCGAGAGAACGAAGCGCGCGATTCGCCGTGCGACGTGCCAAGCTCTCGCTCTCTTCACTCTTGTCTGTGTATCGTCTTCTCCTCTACTTGTCACTCACGATGGACCGACGCGGCGGCGGGCGCTCGGGACGACAGCGGCGCGCAGCCGTGCAGCCAGTTTTTCTGAAAGCGATCGCGCGGCCGTGCCGTGGCACAGGTCGAGTGGAGCGGGCCGCACGCGTGTCCTCGCGGGCGGCCCTTGATGGAGAGTCGAGCACGCCGAAACGAGGCGTGCTCGTGCTGCAAGTGTCGCCGCCGCCGCAAGGCGGATGGGGCCCACCGCCCAGCCAACAATGGCGAGGGCGGGGGAAGGGTGAGTCCGAGCCGCCCGCGCGCTGGTGCGTACAGAGGCGGTGGGAAGCCACCACGTTCCCTTCAAATTTTCCGCCACAGAGCTCTGGAGCGCGCTCTGCACGAGCTCCTGGGACGCGGTTTCGTCTTTCGATCCCAGACGTCGTCGCACGTCGGCGCCCCAGTGAGGTCCGCCGTCATAGGTGTAGCACTCTACTAGACACACTGCCTCCAAGTTGAGCGGTGGAAAATTGTGACGAAGCCACGCACCGAAGCGCCGGCGTCCCTTTGGCAATCTGCCACCGACAGCAACACGCCTTTGATCACCGGCTGCTTGCGCTCCGCATACTCTCCAGAAGCTGTTGGTTGTGTGGCTGAGTGCTTGGCGAGAAAAAAGTGTACAGGCCAAGCTCCTCTCTGCGTGCTGCCGGCTCGGGAAGAGCAGATTTTGCAAGATATCTCAACGAGATCCGACATCTGCGCGGTCATTTTTGGAGTGATCTTACCGCGTCATGACGGAGTCTTGATACCTCTCGGAGCACCTCTAACGGTTCTCGCTCCCTATCGAGATCTTCTTGCCGGACGGCTCTTCCTAATTTGCAGGGCGCGCTGAGCTCTGTGTCAAGCTCGAAGGGCAACGGAAACGAGTGCATCGCTTCGATAGACCGACTGTGCTTGTTACCAAGACCGATCTCACGTACACAGTTACACTCCAGACGTCCTGTACTCTCCCATCCGACAACCGGCAAGACGCTGTCGTGAGCCAGCCGCTCTTGCGGCAGCCGTCAGCAGAGACCGAGCGCATCGGGCGAGTGATTATCGAGATGGCGAGCCGGCCGTGGGCCCGGACGACGGCGCTGGAGCGACAGATTTTGGCTGAGGCTCCGAGGAGGCGAGAGCGAGCTCTAGAGGTGAATCACGTGTTTTGGCTCTATAGTCCAGCTGGGGATATAATCCTGGGCTCAGTTGGCTGGCTGTTGCGGGCATTAAGAAAACAGGATAGCGCGGCACGCCGCCGTTTCTAAGCCTTTCCACCCACCCCACCCGGTCTCGGGCACCGCACCCGTGCTGCCACAAAGCACAATGTGCTGCCACAAAGCACCACTAGCGATTTCGCGCGGAGGGCGTAGTGAAGCGCTGGGGCGCTCACTGTGTGTTATTCGGGTGGGGATCCATCAGTGGTCAGCGGCTTTAGTCACAGATCCAAGCTCAGACGTCACACCAACACCACAAACACGCTCACTTCGCCGCTGCTGTAGATGGGCCTCCGGGGGCCCATGCTACGTCGAAGCACAGACCCGATCTCGGCACTCACGGGCTGCCACGCGCCCGCGCGCGGCGCGGGCCGCACTGCCCATGCCCCCGGGTCACCGACCCCGCCTCTCGGCCCTCTCGGCCCTCAGGAGCGTGCGGGAGACCGGCGAGGGGCGCGCCGCGTGCCGCCTGCAGAGCCGCCAGAGGCATTGTCGCCTCCGCTGGCGGGGTTCCCGCGCGCCCGCCCGCGCCCGCGCCCGCCCACGCCGCGCCCGCGGGCTCCGGATGCGCCGCCCTCCTTCTCCTTCTTCTCGATGGCAGTCCACGCGTGCTTGTCGACGGGTCGGCGGCGTGGTCGAGGGGAAGGTCGCCGTCGGCCGCAACTCTGCCGCCGTCGCTCCGCCGGCTCTGATCGAGTATCGGGCGTTGAGGGCAGCGGCGCAAAGCGGGTCTGGCGCATCCATCGCCACGAGCCTCGCGGCCGCGGTCGTGGCACACCTGGTGGCGGCTCTCGAGGCCGTCTCTACGGCGCTCGACGCCGTGTGAGGTCGCCGGCGGCCGCAACTCCGTGTCTCCGCCGCCGTCGCTCCGCCGGCTCTGACCGAGTATCGGGCGTTGAGAGCGGCGGCGCAAAGCGGGTCTGGCGCATCCATCGCCACGAGCCTCGCGGCCGCGGTCGTGGCACACCTGGTGGCGGCTCTCGGGACCGTCTCTACGGCGCTCGACACCGTGTGAGGTCGCCGGCGGCCGCACCTTTGCCGCCGTCGCTCCGCCGGCTCTAACCGAGTATCGGGCGTTGAGGGCGGCGGCGCAAAGCGGGTCTGGTGCGCCACGACCACCACCCTTGCCACCGCCCTTGCCGCCGCCCTTGCCACCCTTTGCCGCCTTGCCTCCGCCGCGGGCGGCGGTGGGAGCGGCCTGCTGGGCTAGCATGTTGTCCGTGGCTGTGGACGGGCACGTGGGGAACGTCAATTCATGTTCTAACGGCCTCCGGGATTCAAACAAAAAATAGCCGGGGCCCTCTCGCAACCCCTCCGACCCCCCGGGACCCGTGGGCGTCGAAGAGGCGCTCTCGGGGGGCCGTTCTGAGTTCATGCTACCACGAAGCACACTGTGCTGCGTCGAAGCACCGGGCCCGAGTCCGCACCCACCCCACGCCGTGGTTTCTTAGCTTCGGCCGGCACCCCAGGTCAGCCGGGATCTAGGAATTTTTAGGTAAAATGACAATAAGGAAGCGCTGGACCGATGCGCCAGTCAGCAGTCTTGGGATGACAGGAAGACGCACACACCTCCATCCACACCGCCCAGAACACCGCAGACTTGGGCAAAATGACAAGTGCGCGCGCCGCAAGGCGAAGAGAAAATTTGAGCGGGGCTCCTGTTCACACTCGTGTGTGGGCCCTTTAGTGTGACGCCCAGCGAGGGGCGTGCCTCTCCATGATCGAATGCGCGAGTGCGCATTCACACACTCCAACTCGTCCGAGATATTACGTCACGTAAAAGCAACTCGATTCTTAATGGATCGCTGCGAAGACCGCAACAGACTGTACGTTTACGTATACGAAAAGAGGAGAGTCTCATCTCTCAACGTCAACCCAAAATGAAACGGCGCGACCCGCCCCGCGGTCGCGCCCGCCGCCCGCGCGCCACACGGAAAGAGCGTGGCTAGCCACACTTAGACCCGTTAACACTCGATTGACTTTCGAAGAGTGACACCGACTCACGACCGACCGGCAGCGGCACGGGCACCGCCCCGTGGTAAACGAAACGTACAAATAGAGACGATCCCTGCCTCCTCACGGCGCGCGAAGGCAGCCGCCCCGCGCAAGCCCGCATCGCGCGGGCGGACAGAGGTGCGGCGGCGGCGCGTAAAGACGCCCGCGCCCAAGAGGTGGGCTGCGCAGCGCATACAACAACACGGACGCATGTAGACTAGACGTCCGAATGCATCAGCTCCTCGCTGCCGTCACCCTTTTTCCCCGACCATGACATCACCTGTCGCGGCGAGGGTGGGTCGCGGCGTCATCGGCAGCAGCGGCTCGAAGGCGAATAGCAGCGGCGGCAGCGAGTGCGGGCTGTATTGGGTGGGCGCCGCCGCGCCTTTGCGCCGCAATAGAAGAGGTACACCGCATAGATTACGCCCGCGTAGAAGCACGCCATCGCCGACGCGTCGGCCCCCTCCTGCGTCCGGGGGCGCCGGCCGAGGCTGAGGCGAGGGCGCCACGCAGCGATCTTCGCAGTGGCCTGCGAACGGGTGCAACGGCCGCGCGCAGAGAGAACGGTTCGCGCGGCGCCTTTGAGACGCCGAGGAACCAGTGGTTGCCCGACTTGAGCGTGTAGCCCATGAAGAACTGCGCGGGCGAGGCGGAGGGCACTGAGAGACGCGCGCAGACCGCAGGCCACCTCCCCGCCGCTGCCGCGCTGCGCACAGCGGCGTGCGCAGGGAATTGAAACTGGGAGGCGCACGCACCAGACCGAGCACTCCAAAGACGGAGAGGCCGGTGCAGAAGTACGCGCAGCACTCCTCGAGAGCGCCTGGCATGTCGGCGAGAGGACACAGGCAGCACGGCACACGGCGCAGCCACAGATATCGCTGATCTGTGCCACACACAACAAAAAATCCGATTGAGGTTTTCCTCTCGCAGCCCGTCTGTTTTCCTTTCCTTTTTTCTCTTCAGCACCCTCTCTTTTCCTCTCTATTTTCCCGGGAAAACTCCGTGGAAATCGTCAAATTTTGGCCCCCCGGGCCCCCGGGGGCCCTCCTGTGCCCTGAGCCGAGTCTGAGGCTGGTTTGGTAGGGTGCCCACAGGACCCAAAAAAAGAGCGGGCGCCACTGCGCTAGCACGGCCGGAGGCCCCTCCCCGAAAGGCAAGTTTTAGCCACATGAAATCCGAGACCCCTCCCCACCGCCCCGACCCCCCCACCCCCTTGCTCCCCTCCCCCCTCGAAGAGCGACAGCGTGCGTGGCACTCGCGCTTCGCCGATGTCGCACGGGACGCATCCTGGTAGCCTCGAGCGGTGGTAGATGCACACCGAGTTAGGGCCCACGCCGATGCAGCGCGTGGCGAGGGTGATGGCGCCCTTGGGGTGGTTGAGGTAGCCCTGCGCCTCGTGGAGCCACGCGGTGGCATAGCTATTTTTTTGTCCTTGGGCATCGTGGGGTGAGTCGAAGGGCGCGGCCAAAGCTCCCCCCCGGGCTGTTAGCGCGTCCGCGCCGCCTCCTGCTGTGCCGCTCCCTGCCCACACGCGCCCCTCCCGCACCCGCCTCCGGCCGAGCGCTCGTGGGCCTACGGAGACGGCGCCTGCTTTGCCCGCCTCTCCCCGACGCCGCTGCGGCCGCCCGCACCCAGGGGTAGCGATGCCGGTCGCCCCGAAGAACAAGGTGAAGAAGACGCGCAAGCTGCGCGGTGATGTCTCGCACGGTTACGGCCGCATCGGTGCGCCGCCGCTTCCGCCGCCGTCGCAGCCGCTGCCCCCTCGCTTTCTTGCCTCTTGCGCGGGTTGCAGAGGTGCGCCGCGGTACTGACGCGCGGCACGCCTATTTGCGCAGGCAAGCACCGGAAGCACCCGGGCGGCCGCGGTAACGCCGGTGGCCAGCACCACCACCGGATCATGTTCGACAAATAGTGAGTGCCGCTCCCGCGCCCGCTCTTCGACGCGCGCGGCCGTGAGAGGGGGGGTCTCTTCGGGCGGCGCGCCCCTGCCGCCGGGCGCGCTTGACGCGTGCGGGGACACGCGGACGGGCGGCTGTGTGGAGGGGAGGCAGGAAGAAAGAGCCGCTGGCAGCGCCGCCGTGCCGCCCGCAGTGTACACCCCCCCCCCCCCCCCTTCCCGACCCCCCCGCCGTTGGCCGTTGACCGGTTGCCTCGCCGCGGGCAGCCACCCGGGCTATTTTGGCAAGGTTGGCATGGGGTACTTTCACAAGACGCAGCAGAAGTTTTTTTGCCCCACCATCAACCTGGACAAGCTCTGGACGCTGGTGTGCAGTCCCCCCCCCCCCCCCCCAACCCAACACACACCACCACCCTCCCCCGCTCTGTCGACGTCCGGCTCCCACCTCCTCGTGCCCCCCCCCACCCCCCCACCCCCCCACCCCCCCACCCCCGCGCGCGCGCCGCCCAAGTGAGCCGCGCCGCGCCGCCGCCGCGCCGTTGTCACCTCCCCGCCTCCCCCTCCCCCTCTCAGGTCCCCGAGGAGACGCGGACCAAGTACGCCAGCGGGCCGAAGGCTGCGGTCATCGACTGCGTGAGCAAGGGCGTGTACAAGGTGCTGGGCAAGGGCGAGCTGCCGAAGCAGCCTGTGGTCGTCAAGGCGAAGTTCTTCTCCAAGCTGGCGGAGAAGAAGATCAAGGCGGTCGGCGGCGCGTGCTTGCTGGTCGCCTAAGCCGGCTCTAGATTAGCCACACATCGCTGTCTCGGGAGTGCCGTTGTTTTCGTACTAACATCACGTGTATTCAAAAATGGCTTACTCGATCACTTGTGAGTTGTGTCCCGTTGAGCGTTCGTGTCGATTAGGCTTTAGGGGTCCACACAGTGTGGCACACACACATCTGGGGGGGGGGACCCGCGACCCCCCCATCTTTGTTTACCGAATGCGTCTCTGGATTAGAGTGCGTCTAGTAGGTGCCCTCGAGCAATTCGGTATGCTCGAGCATCCTAAGATGCGCGAGTCCATATTAGTTGCTCCGCGCATCCCGAATTGCTCGCGCGGCATCTCCGAGATTATTGGCGTTGCTGCTTGCTGTCTCAAAAGACGCGCCGTGCATACTGTGACAGCGCGTGTCTCAGAAGACGCGCGCATATTTTGATTAATTTTGAACACAGCGCGTGTCTCAACAACTCTCAACGAGTACACGCACGTTACAAAAGAAAAAAGGTCGCGCGGTGTGCCGAGCGCAGCGGACGATAGACGCAAAAAAAATAAATATTCTTAGCTTCGCCCTTGCCTCCGACGCTAGAGACAGAACCCAGAGATACATAAGTCAAAGGGACTGCCCCCCTTCCCCACCTGCCCTGCTTACACAGGATAGCATGCCCCGAGAACGGCGGCATTTGGCGGGGGGAACCAGGGAAGGAGGTTCGGGTTAGTCTTTCTTTTTGTCCTCTCGGGGGAATGTTCTCTCGGCGCCCATGGCCTTCTGAGGTTTCGTACTAATGACGTCCTTCTTGGCACTTCGGGCGTCGGTGTGTGCGTATCTGTGGTGTCTAATTCCCCCGGTATGCTATAGGTTTCGAACGGCGACCTCTCACTCGCAGCGATTCCTTGCTGGCACCGCAGTGTCGAAACGTAAGGCTCTTAGAACACTTAGCACGCCCTTACTTATGCGGGTTCCGCGCCGAAGCGGTGTATCTTCATTCATACTTCATACGAAGATACACGGGTTCCAGGTCAAAGCGGTGTATCTTCATACGAAGATACACGGGTTCCAGTCGAAGAGATCTCTTGAAGAGTGGTGTATCTTCACGGACCGCGTAAACTTCGAAGATACACCGGTGGAAAGGTATAATGGTGTATCTCGTTGAAACGTATAGTCAAGCGTATCTTTGGCTATCACTCGAACTTTGGACAGCGATTTGGCCCAAAGAGGGGGGCGTGCCGAAGTGGGTTGTTGCACGAGTATATGGGACACGATGTCTCAAATATGAGAGGTTTTGACTCCTACCGGCTCCTGACGCTATCCCTGGCAGCTCTAATGACCAGGATCAGTAGTGTTGTGATAGAGGGTGCCCATACTAGCGCAGGAGCTGCCACACTCGCCCGGACCGTCCCCTTCTGGGGCCGGTTCCGCAGCCCGCGAAAGCCGACAGCGGGCCGTGCCGCGGGACGCGGGTGCCTACTGCCGAGTGCCACAAACACTGCGCCGTCCCGCCATCACCTACAGGCTGTCTTGTGTGATGGTTGGGATGTCCAAACGCCACCATCTTGGCTCTTGCGACCTCAAACCCGCGAGCTGTATGGGTGGTCCTGACGTCGACAGACGCCCGAGGACCACGGTGAAGCTGAGCCGTAACGAGTCGACAAGTCTCGTCTGAGCCCGTGGCGGTCGCCGGCTGAGTCGCTGTGCACGGGCCGGTACCTCAGGCGTCACCTCCGCAGCCTCAGGTCTCACACGTTATCACCTCCGACGGGACGCCTTCGATGGCACGCTCGGCGGCGAGTTTGTGGCAGCTCCATCTCGAGTACGGCGTCGAGCCTACTCACTCCTGTTGGATCTGTGCACTCCCTGGGTCCCACTGAGTGCACAGAACGCGCGAGCGGCGCGTCCCGGCAGCCCGCGTTAGCTGCGGAGCTGCCACAAACTCGACACACGCTTTTTGACATTTTCGACGCTTTGTCTAGACTATAGTCGAGCGCGTCGGAGAGGTGTTTCGACACCGAGTGTTTGAACGTTTCTTCGCAGAAGAAACGTCGAGAGAAAAAATCTCTCGCCGGTGTTCACAGAGCTCTGTGAACACCGGCTACTCGGCCTTAGCCGCCGGTACGTCAACAGTGCGATAGCCAAGTATCGCACTGTTGGGTCCTGATGGTGTCCCATCACAAATTCGTGCTGTCGACAGATCATGTCCCTTGGTCGACTGCACCCGCCTTTGGACGGTTCTCCGACATGCTTAGATGAGTCTTTTTGTCTTTTTTTGGCTCGCCTGGCCTTCACCAGTGCGAACATATTCTTGCTCGTAGGAGCCGCTCGTCTTTCGTCCTAGCAAACGTGCGCCCGATCGCCCCATTAAGCACGTGCGAAGGGTATCCGAGCGCCGTAAACTCCCTGAGCTTGCTCGTCACGCTGAGTGCGAATCCCTCGTCATCGCTTGCCATCGCGACCACCTTGAGCAGGCATCCAACCACGATGCCCGCCTTCATTTTAGCGCATGTGAAGCTATCCCAACGATGGTAGCGCCACACTCGCGGTGCCGTCTCGCAGCCCTCATTAACGTTCTTGAGTCTCGTCCGGAAACTTCCGCTTGGGTCGAGCTCAAGAGTCGTTTCCAAAAAATGGGTGCTCTCGGCGGCTTCCAGCTTCAACGGGGCCCAGTAGCACTCCGAACGGCGGAAATCTTCCCGAGCCGCGGGCGCTCGGCGCCAAGTGCAGTGTCACGCTCGTGCTCGCGCGTGACAAACCGGGGAACCCTCTTTTCCTAGTCACTCGGTCCCCCAACGGAAGAGGCCTCGCTCCTATTGGAACACTCCAACATCAGATTTGCCTCGTGCGTCCCTTTTTGAGTCGGAAAGCTATTTTCTTTTGGGTCCTGTGGGCACCCTACGCGCGAGCTGGCGAGCTCATCTGCATCTCGGCAATGTCAATCAAATCTCAGAGGGAGCGCCGTGTGTATCTTGATGCGTGACACTGCACTACGACTACTAGCCCGGTCGAACACTGCCCAAACAAATAAATTCCCCCTTTGAGCTGAGAGGTTTTGGGATTTCGCTCCGAGCGACGGTCCAACGAGAATCGTCAAAATCAGGCAACAAGAGACCGGTAGCGCCAGCATGTCGGTGCGTCTTTCTCATGCTCGCGCGCCCGCCGCGCCCGAACTATGCACGGGCCCGGCTCGCCCGCTTGGGGATCCACCCGGCACATCCCCGCCCCCCACCTGCCGGCTTGCCTGCCGTCAGTTCACGCCGGATCGCCCTCAATTGTCAGCAACACAAATCCACCAGTTTTTGGGCTGCCTTCAGCCTCGCCTCACAGCCGACCTTCTGGTCGTACGCGGGTTCTTAAGGGTCGTACATGCCGGCCATGACGTCTGCCAACCGGCCGTTCGCAGGCGGTAGCTTCGCACGCCCCCGACAGCTTTCCGAGAATGACCCGCGCGAGAAGTGCGCGTCGGCGGCGCACTTTTCCTCCCAGGCTGTGACTGCTGCCCTGGCCACCCTGGCCTCCCTCGAGGGGTCGCCAGGACCCGCCGCGGCCCTGGCGCGGCCCACGGGCGGCTTGATGCTCATCGACGCCTTCACCCTCGTCGGCCTGGCCGGAAAATACGCCAGCCGCTCGGGTGCCGCCCGCCTCCTAGAGGCCGAACCACCAGTGCTGTGAGTATTGACGCCCTCCCTGCACCTCAGGCGCGTCCCTCGCCCTCGCCGCCGCCGCCGCCGAGCCCGCCGCCGCCCTCGCCGCCGCCGCCCTCGCCGCCGCCACCGTCGCCGCCACCGCCGAGCCCGCCGCCGCCGTCGCCCCCTCTGCCGGCGCCTTCTCCGCCCTCGCCACCCCCACTGTCGCCTTGCCCCCACCAAGCCAACCACCGCCGTCGCCGCCGCCGCCCAGTCCGCCTCCGCGTCACCGCTGCCTCCCTCGCCGCCGCCCCCAAGCCCGCCACGGCCGCTGCCGCCGAGCCCGCCGCCGCCATCGCAACCGCCTCCGAGCCCGCCGCCACCAAGACCTCCTGCTCCCACACCGACGCCCAAGGCCTAACACCACGGCACGGGAATGGCCATTGCGCGCCACTAAAGCGCGAGCCGTATCGCCTCTCATAACGCCAGGTGGGGATAGCAAGATTGCCCGACACCATAATACGGCGGATATTATACATTGAGCTTCTCGGGGACTTTACCTAGCG